AATTATAACTTTTAAATAAAAAATTTATTATTTTATTTAAAAATTAATAAAATTAACATTATTAAATAAAAAAACAAAATTAATATTTTTATTTACAAATTTCCTCTATTCTCCTTCTCCAAATCACACTTACTAGTTTTTGCATTTATTTTGCAGGAATAGAAGGAATAGCGCGATACATGTTTGATCATCCTAGCTGCCCTATACTTTAGGGAATCAAAGAACATGTAAATTATTTTGCTTTTAGTTCTTTTAGAATGGTTCTCTTTAGAAGGGATTGCACTTAAGAAATCAGTTTAGGATGGAATCTTGTTTTTAAAAAATCTAAACAGAAGGCTTTACGTGCGGAACGGACAAAAAATCATTTCCGTTTTTCATTTTATTACCATTAAGTTAAGCAACCATCGTGTGTCTGCAGCTTTCAGGTTAAAATCTTTGTTCCCTCAACTTTTATATGGAGTTCCTTTTTGTTTTAAATTAAAAATATTTTCTTTTTAGTCCCTGAAGTTTAACCTTTCAGCCTTTTTAGTCCTTTCATGAAGTTTTTGTTAACTAAGAACATCAATTAACAGAACTACCTGATTTCATTTTTATATGAATGATGTGAAAATCCACGTGACCGAAAAAAGGAAAAATGATATGGATGAAATTTTGATTTCATGTTAGCATTTCATACAAAACTATTGGGTTTCTTGTAAAAATTAAAACTTTTTATTGCTTAGTTTTTGAATTAAAATATAATTAATTTTAATTACTCATTAATTGCATTAATTAAACCTTTAATTTTAATTAGATTAAAAGAAAATTAAAAACACAATCATTTCTTCTTTGTTCTTCCAAAATCACATGCAAATTCTCAATTTTTTAAAAATCTTTTGCGATGGGTTCAACACCTAGATTTCTCACTCCAAGTTCAAAATTAAAACACAATTTTCATTGCGGATCTCCAATATAATTTTGCTGCAAATTACCACTTTAAGTTTCTTGAATTTTCTCTAGCTCTCTAGGAAAGCAAACAACAAAAACCACTTCCAATCAAGAAAAAAGGGTTTGAAGAATGTGAGTAGTGAGCTACAGATGGTGACGACTAACAAGAGTGGTGATCAGTGACCGACAAACGCGAGTAATGAGAGGTGATCGGCCAATTCGGGCACTAATGAATGTGACTGGCGAGGAAAAGATCTGAGGCTCTAAAATTGAGAACCAAATTTGAGGCTCTTAGTCAAAGTAACCAGGTCAGATCTCAGATGGATTGAGATTGAGAATGAGAAAGGAAATAGGAAAGAGAGTAAGAAAGGGAATGGTAGAGGGTAGGGGTAACCGTTGTTGGAATTGACGACCAAAGGCTAGAATTGTCCCACTTTGCCTTGGAGGAAACTATTGTTGTGTCAGCGGTAGTTGTAAACATGGTTGAACTCTAAGAAGATGAGGTAGGCGATGTAAATTGCCAGGACAATAAAGAGCAAAGAAGGAATCTTGGCAAGCTAAAATGATTTGGGCCAAAATTGACTTAATAATTTGTCACGCCCCAGAACCCAAATCCAAGACGCGACAGACGCCGAGCACTCGTGAGACGGGTCCCACAAATGCACAAGGCTCGAAACTTATTCAAATCACAAACTAATATCATCAAAATCTGAAGATCAAATTATAAAATCTCTCTGATATCGT